CGGCGGTGGTAGCAGCGGGTGGAAGTTAGGCGGTGGAAGTGGCGGATTCGGCGGTGGAGGATGGAAATCCGGCGGTGGAAGTGGCGGCTACGGCGGCGGCGGATACGGCGGTGGAGGTGAGATGTGTCGCCGTGTATATTAACGTTGTCGATTTTATTATCGCAAGGGTAATTAATGGAAAATATTGAGGAGCGCTTTGATACACTTTTCCCACCTTTTGCCCCTAGAACCGTCAATTCATGAAAACATTTGTGTAATACACAAATTATGTGGCTTTTGTGTACGGACCGTCTGTGTTCCACTGATCGGACTAACAATAAGTCAGGGAACATCGTGGTATCATTGAGATTAAGTTCAGAAACTTAGCAAAAAATCTATTCGCTCGAATAAATTCTATTAGATAACTTACTCGAGTGAATAGACTTTTTGTCAGGCTTCTAAACTTAATTTCAATGATACCGTGCTGTTCTCTGACTTAGTTCGAATAGTGGAACACTTTTGATCTGCACGCACAAGCCTTATAATTTGTGTGTTACGCAAATGTTTTCATGAATTGACAGTTCTGGATGCAAAAAGTGCAGAAGGTGCAGAGTTACTCCGACATCCCCCACGGGGAGAGCCGTTGAGAGGATAAATGTGAATCAACTTTTTCTCTGACAATTTATCGCCGAGTGTAATGTCAATTTCGTTCTTTCATAATTATCACGCGGACCGGCATGTATTTTTCAATGCGCGTCTTAAAGTTATACACCGTATATGTAAACTTCCAGGCTGATGATTCGCCGCTCGCAGCACACAATTAATGCGAAATTCGCTCCGTCGATTAATATAAATCAAAGAGAATGTAAATAAACTTAATGAAAAAAGTGTCAGTCCCGAAAAAAGTTTTAAGAGTACTAAAATATCATTGTAGATCTCTCGCGCATCCGTTATACGTGATGACATTTATATCGAGTTTGAGTTGCTTAAATCCATTAATATCGGTAATCCTCGCAACTGGTTTTAATTTATACAGTTAATAAATCATCCTTTACCTCGGCGAGAACTGTCGAGACGATAAGCCACGTAAATTAACTTTCTTTTTTGGAAAATTTATCATCATGCAACTCCCATTCTCTTTTTTATTATCGCACCGTCCGGCGTTAACATACATTTCAAGCTTACTCACCGTGTGAATTAAACTTTCAGGCTGGTGGTAATACTCACGGGTGCCCACGAGCAAACGGAGCAAAATTCGCTCGCCGATCGTCCGCGCGCATCTCGGCCGTAAACATCGATCGCCGTCGATAAGGAAATCAACTCGCGTCTGGCCCTATCTATCCCTCGTCGGACCACCGTCGGAAGACCAAGCGAACCAACATCGGGACGTCGCGCGAGGCAGAGACCAAGAAATTGCCCGGTATATCGTCGAATAAATCGGCAGGAGAAAGCGTCACGGCGTACAACGCGCGTGGCATCCTCTTCGTTACCCCTCGCCACCAAGCGCAGGGATATCTCTTGGAAACAGCGAACGAGATCGTCGTCCCGCTTCCGGCCATCCGAATTTGCCGCCGTGTCGTCTCGGCGAAACGACTTCCTTCTCGACGGCGCGGCGCGGCGCGTTTTCTCTTGGCGTCTTATCCGCCCCCCCCCCGCCAACCCGTTTCTTCCCTACGCAATCCGGAAAATCGGCGAGCATTCCATTTACGAGCGAAATCGTGCGCCCTGATATTTCAATTCCGCTTACACGTATGAACATTCGCCCACCTCGTCTCCCGTTTACCCGACCCGCGCTCTCCTCCGTGAATCGGAGGCATCGAAGTTAGGCACCCCACCCGCACGACACTTAGCCCATTACAAACACGTAGTGCAGGCGAGCAAAAGTGACGAAAAACCTGCAAAATTACATCCGGTGCGAAAGAAATAAAACGCAGTGATCCGTTCCACGCACACTTTGTTCCCTCCCTTTATTGTCTCGACCACCCAGTTCGACTCAATGAGCCACAATAAATAAGTCATATTGATAGAATAACGATATGTGTTGATCATTGTTTTCAATTATTACCGGCCTCCCGGGCGCTGGCGGCCGCCGTAACTCACATTCCCAGCGAAATATCTCTCTGCGCGCATGGAGGAAAAAAATTGAACGCCGTCCCCGATTTCGCGATTCCCCTTTCGATTTATGTATCCGCGGCGATCTTGCATAACCGGGGCGAAATTAAAACCGTGAACGCCCGCCGAATTCGCCGAGAGAGATATTGCCGAACGTATGAATTTACTATCGCGCCATTACGGTATTGCGCCATCGCGCAAATGCCGCGCGGCATTTAGGTGCATTTTTTCCATGCAACATAATGCCCGCGATCGAGATGACGTGAAAAAGTTTCATCCACAGTCTGCGACCGTTCGCGCTACTGGCCGGCAGCGGAATTTATTCAAATGTTTAAAACTTTCGCTATAATTTTCACGCCCTCGTTTTCTCTCCCTACAGTCCAATTTAACAGATGGTAGCGGCTGGACGTTCCGCAATATTTTCACTCTTTGAACAATGACGAGTACACAACGTGAAATTTTCCTTCATCTTCAACCGTGTCGGTCAGTAAATAAAAAATTTGCGCAAGTTGATAAATTGTACATTGTACAATCGTATATTGTCGATAAATTTTTTAAGCGTTCTGATGTACTTGTATAAAATAGAATGTTTCTAGACGCAAGGGGCACATTGTAGATCAGGTTTTAGTCAGCGCACGACTAAATGTCCGGCATTTGCCAGAATGTGTTTCTCCAGATGTCGTATAATCACTGCGCAACAATTTTATGATACCTACATATTTAATTTTGTATCATTATGTTGGTATAAAAAGCGGATAAAAAGGAGTCACTTCTATTCTGGACACGGGATAAACGAGATTGGCCTAATTAAGGAGCTACGTAATGAACGCCGAGTTTAACGCGTGGCGCATCGCGCCAGGACAAGCGTTAAGGCCGAATCAGACTAGCAATTGTCGACACGGATCGGATTGGGATTGGCGATTGACGATTGACTTCTAGCCAATAAGAGTCAATTAAATCGCTGCCTACTCTCATGGGCAGGAAGAAAATCGCCAATCGCCAATGCCAAACCGAGTCGGCAATTGCTAGTCTGATTCGGCCTTAAGACCGAATCGGACTAGCAATTGTCAACGCGGATTGAGATTGGCGATTGTCTTCTAGCCAATGAGAGCAGCTCGACTCTCATTGGCTAGAAGACAATCGCCAATGCCAAACCCAGTCGGCAATTGCTAGTCTGATTCGGCCTTTAGGAGACACGTACACACACACTAAGTTTTCTCTCATGGCAGTTGCGTGACTTTCACGTAATAGTGACGCGCAAGTAATACCGCGATAATTACATTCCACTCGCGTGTCACGAGAGCGGGGCGACTCGATTTGTCGCTTAACATCGATACCGGCAAGAGCGTGTGCGCGTTCCGACGCCCTTTCGCCGATCATCCCTCAATAGCGCGTAATTACCGCCGCGTAATATATTTTTACGCGCGATATAAAATTTATTTCCCACTCCCCGGTTGTCCTCGCTGCGAGAAATTGTTATCCACGTGCGCGAGAAAAATTGTACCTCGTTGTCTTTTTAATGACTACGTTGCTTTATGTTTTAATGACTCAGATATTCTTACGCATCACCGCCGACAATAAAACTGAACTACGTGTCTGCCTTTCAGTAACAGGATTTGCGCGCATAATAGCTCTCTTAAGTCCTCATTGCGATAAAATAATCTGGGTCGAGAAGAGGCATCATCGTCGACACTGAATCCCACCTTGTAATAGCTTTTTTAATTTCGTTCTGTTTGAGGGGGAACGTATACTTCTCTGCATTAATATTACATTTCCTTGCGTTGAACGAAGACACATTGTTATTATCAAAGCGCTATTGGAGCGGACTAGTCAATTTAAGTACATATACGTATTATGATATCAGAAACGAAATTTTTTCCTACGTAGTTACCGCCGGAATGGTCGTAAAATAATCGGCCACGTTGATCAACGTCGTCAATTTAATTGTAACAAATTTATTAATTTTAAATTACGCAAACGTAATACGCGTTTCTTCATTTCTTTAGTTATTTGGGCAATAATGGGATTGTACTGTGTTTTAAAACTGACGATTTAAGCGAAGTTCTCGCTTCGAATACTGTTACGATATGTGGCATTCGGGAACCATCGTTAAGGCCCAATCAGACTAGCAATTGTCGACGCGGATTGGATTGGGTTTGGCGATTGTCTTTTAGCCAATAAGAGTCGATTAAACCGCTGCCTGCTTTGTTCTCATTGGCCAGAGGACAATCGTCAATTCCAATCCAATCGGAGTCGGCAATTGCTAGTCTGATTCGGCCTTTAGGCTGTTTATTGCGATGAATATTACTACATGCCTCGGTGGTCGAATTAGTGAGACGTCCGTCTGGTGAGAGGAAGATCCAGGTTCAAACCCTGGCTGAGGTACTATTTTTCGCAATAAATTTAAAATAAGAATTATTTAGACAACCTGTCACGGCTCTTTAGTCTTTATTCCTTCGAATTTGCGTTTATCACATGAGAGCCTTATGAATTTGAATTTGTTAATTATAATATTTAGCGATCCGTCATGTGATGATTGAATAGCGCGAATGCTTCTTGACGCCACC